CTGGCAATGGTGTGGGGCCGTGGCACACCCATGGCTGAGTGAGAGGGCAAAAAATTAGGGGTTGCTGATTTGGCAATGTGGACCAAGCAGCAATGGAACAGCCCATTGGCTGGGGGGCAGAGCTCAGGCGGTGCCACCTCCATGGTTAGCAGGGTGGTTGGGAGCTCACCGGCCTGGTGGCTGGCCTCCCAAGGCAGCTGCGGCAGTCAGACGGGGTGTGCGGGCACGTGCTTCGAAAGCGCACGTAGGACGAGTAACTTGCTGCCTCCCCATGGCATGTAATTTTGGAAAGATGGAAGCAGGGCATTCGCCGTCTAGAAACGGTGTCCCTGCAGCTCCTCACTTGGCACGGTAGAACCATCTTTTATTACCCTTTGGGGCTGCGGCTGCAAACAAAAAACGCTTTCATTTCACTTTGGCGGCAGCTCAGGTTGTGTGTGCTCTGGCTGCTTCCTTAATTACAGTGGTTGTTGACAACTTCTTCTGATAGAGACCCTCTCTTTGAGCAGTCCTCCCACTCCCCCGCTTTTTTTTGCAGTCTGAACACATAACAAACCAGGACAACGTTCTGTAAAAATAAGCTCACTGTAATGCAGTGATTCCAGCACCACAGTTATGCTGTGTTCCTCTCTTCTGTCCTCTCAGTTTGTGCTGCTGCTGTTTATTTCCTCTTTCTGGCTATAAGACGTTTTATTTATTAGTGCTGGATTTCCTGTTGCCTACAGCTGCCTGTACTTTACTCTCTCCAGCTCACTTTGCCGTTTGAGTCAGTCTGTAGGTTTGTTATCCCGCTGACTGAGGTGCTCTCAGCCAGTTTGGTTGGTGGTTGTATTAAGCAAGACTTGACAGAGAGGGGGACTTGCATGGCAGCCTGGGCATACAAAAAACCCAAACGAACCAAAAGCCGATACAGGGAGCCCTCACAGGCATAGGAGGGGGTCCCTTTTTGATGACTTACTGATGCAGAGATTATGCTTTCTCAGGTGGCAGGAACACCTCCTGTCTTGCTTGCATGCCCTGCACCACAGGGCGGAAGTCAGCTCTTTGAACTGCACACAGTCTGCAGGTCTGACGGACGAGGGGTTAAAGGTTTGCAATTACGGATATTTCAGACTGTGGGCCACATCGTGGTAGATACGTCAAGTGGACTTTCCACACGTGAGGTTCATGAGTGACTTCCCTGACCTTTTGTGGACATTCAACATCCTCATAGTAAACACAAAGATTGCTTATATAGAAAGTGAGATCATGAAGGGGAAAAAAATTTGCTGCTTTGAACGTGATTTTTCTGCTGGAAGGAAGGAGGAGGCATGAGCTCTTAATGCTCTGTGTATTATCGGCAAGGCCAGTTGGAAAAGCTCACTCATCTGCACTGGGGAGAATTGCTTCATCTAATTCTCTGTTGTCCGATACCGATTTGGTGCTGTTTCAAATGGTAGAGAATAAGGTTGAAGCAGCACCTAATTTTACGCCTGAGGGGCTGCCCTAATTTTATCATCTTTCCTTTCTGTTTGGTGGGGATTTGAGGCCTGAAAACTGAGTAACGAGAGTTAAGGATGAAGTGAACCCCAAGGCATGGAGGCAGCTGTGGTGTGTTTTACTGCGATGCAGCCGCAGCACTGTCAGGATGTGATCCTTCCAGCTGCTGCTCACGGTGGGCAGTTGCTGGCGGAGAAGCACTGCAGGTGCAGCACTATTAGACACATTTTCCTTTGTGTCAGATGTTCGAGAGCTGCCCAGGAACATTAAATAGGCAATGGACTTCTGACATCTTCCAGGTAAGATGGAAACGGGAGATCCTGAGCATTTGAATTATGAAAGATCCCAGTGTGTTACCTGCAAGCCAGTGTTTTAACCCCAGCATCCTGGCCAAATTCCAGCTCTGCTAATTACATCCTGCCTATGTGAAAATTCCCCTGTGTTTGTATACCGCTTTCTTCCCCGCTTGTTTTCAGCAGCTGCGTGGAGTTGCCAGGCACGGCGAAGCGCTTGCCACGTTCCACCTCAGGCCTGGCTGCCTTTCAGCGGGGAATGAAATAAGCACTGTGCACAGCATTTGCAGTGAGTCTGGATCCTCTGCAGGGAAGGGCGCTACAGAAGAAGCGTACCCAAAGACCAGCACTAGGGCCTTGTCATAGAAGGTAACAGTGTGAAGAGGCCAAAGGCACTGGTGCCAGGGTACACCGCAGGATCATGGGAGAGACAGGAGGAGGCTGCTGCACTGTGATCTGAGTTTTCTCCCAGCATCTCTCACCTACAAGGGCTGGAATAGCTGGTACATGCTGATCTGGTTTTGGGGGCTGACTGACTTCAGGTTTGTTTGCACAGTGGCAGAAGCTCTCGGTCCTGCTTACGTCAGCCACTGTCAATACATTTCCAGCTTTTGCACGTCTGGTTATTGATCGGTGTGGACAAGGGAAGCTAAGGGAAAAGAAAGAATTCAAACCCTTTAAATCTATAGATTTGTTCCCTTCCCTTCCACTTCATGACTCATGTGCACATTGCTTTTTGCTCACACTGTTGGCAACAACTCTCTGCAACTGACCATTAATCCCCCTGGTAAACACCTGACTCATACCACTGGAGAGGAACTGGCTGATGGATTATCCCTCTCTTCTGAAGAGGTGAAAGAGATGGCTGCAGCAGCAGTTATAGGATTCTGATAATAAGAAGCAGTAAGAAATGCAGGTCACATACAGAAGGATAATGAAATCCCATATATTCAGTACAGGAGTGGCTTATTGGCACATCTGTCCAATTTTGTCAGCCAAGTTCTCTCTTTGATTATGGCATTCTCACCACAGTCCTGCCTGAATATTATATGGAAGCACATACAAAAAGCTTTGAGGTTGCTCCCAAGAGTACACCAACTCCACTGGCAGCAATGGGGGCAGAACATGCCCAAGGCAGACAGAGCAGTGACTTTCCCCCCCCAACCCTCTCTGATCTTTTCAACATCTTAATCCCATAAGACAGCAGCTGTGAGTAGTCTCTCTGTTCTGAGGGGGAAAAAACAAGGTTATCTCAAGGTGTGATGCCAGAATGTTTTCACTATATCCCAGAAGGGGAAGTACAGCAAGCCATGAGAAGGAAGGGAATGCGTGCTGCCTGTGGTGTAAGGTAGAAACCTGGGACTCGAGACCTCTTGCCACGCTGCCCATGTGACTTCAGGCAAGGCACAACTTTTTTAGTCTCATTAGCCCTGTCTTTAAACTGTACTTAGTACTTGCTTCACGGGGCTGAAACGAAGGGGATTAAGGTTTGATTCATTAATGTCTGCAAAACATTTTAGAACTTGGATGGAAATTTCCCAGGTAGTGCAGAGAGTATTAGAAAGCTTATCTCCCTCTCCAACCACAAATGGTCCTGCAATATGAGAGAAATGAGTGAAACAGTGCTTGCATTTCAGTGTTTATAATAATCAAAACCCTACCCTCCAGCTTCCCCTCTCTATCCTTCCATGTTTTTTTTTAAAAAAAGGGAGGCAGCAATGAGAAATTTTAGTCTAAACAGAGTGCAGTTGCTCCCTGGAGACTCGAATGCATCTCAGTGGAATTTTCCCTGCCTTCAGCCTTTTGTGCTTCTGAAAGGTCCTGGAACTGGGCATGTGACTGTAAGAGCAAAAAACACTTCTGTGTCTAAGTGCTCTACGCCAGTAGTACAGCACTGTCAAGAAGAAAATCTAAACTTCAGTTAAAACAAAATTAAAATTAAATTTTACAAAGGTCTCTTCAAAGCACAAAACTGGTAACACTGAAGCTAGAGAACTGCTTTTCCCCAAGGTGAAACGTACTAGCTTTTAAAAGTAGCTTACTGAAATGGAGTAGCTTCCTTCTTGTGATGGAAACTTCCTTGTTAAAGGAGAGCCCAAAGCTGCATGAGCGGGCGTGTAAGTAAGGAGGCTGCTGCCTTCTCCACGCCACCCTGTTTGGTGGCTGGGAGTGACACGACATCAGCTTCCACATCCCATCAGCTTCTTGGTCTCTTGCGCTGCCACAGTAAGGGTGTGCGGTACTTTTTAACAGGGGCCATGTGCTCCCCAGGAGCTCTCTTGTCACCCAAAGACTGCCTAGCAAACAGCAGATGGCAACCTGCTCGCCTCACAGGTGGCCCCACTGCAGCTGATTTCCTTGTTGGATTACCTACAGCCACCTCGGCAGTACTCCAGACCTCCCCTATTTCTGTATAGGTTACTCTGCTTTTCAAGAGGTTGCTCAGGGAGGCTTTCCCCGTGACTGCAGAGGACAGAACCACCCTCTCGGGCCAATGGTGGCTGTGCATCGGCAGTCAGCTCTAGCTGAACCCATGGCTTTCCCTCAGGGGTGTGAGGCTTGAGAGCCGGGAACAACCTGATCCCGATCGCAGCGCAGCCAGTGATGCCTCCAGCAGCCTTGAGCAAGCACTTCTCTAAGTCTGTATGGTGAGTAAATAGTTCTGTGGTTTGCAGCCACGTTGTTAATACTTTAAAAGTGCTTTGAAGACAGAGGAAGTTAAGCAGTTGTAATATACACCGATCTTCCCACCTTTTGGATTGCTACCTGTTCTCCTTCCACTCTGAACTCTCAGAGCCCGGCTATTAGCAACTCTGTTGCATCATCTCTGATGATTTTCAAGGGAGTTACAGGAATAAGAGCTCACTGAACTATTGCTTCTTAATCAAGCCAATGAGTGGGTTTATAATTTCTCTTAAAAAGTAGAAGCAAGCATGTCACTATATTATGGGCTGGGACACCAAGCACTCCTGTGTGGTTGACTGTTGGCTCCCCCAGATTGGTGAGGTGACGGGGTGAATTAGGCAGGCACATGTGGCTATGCTTCTTCAGTATCATGTGTCTTGTTCAGAGGCTTTTATTACTATATCACTTAAATTAACCTGAACAAAATACAGGATTTTCCTAAGTTTTCAGAGTTAAGCATGGCCCCACACATACAAAGAACAGCACTTGGGTTTTAAATTTAGTCTTTAAAGAGACAAAAGAAGAAGAATGCTCACTATCTGCTTCACCGGATTTTCGAAAACCAGTGTTGTCGTTCATTCAGTTCTTAGCAGAGGTTTCATTTGTCCTTTCTATAGAGTGGATGTATTGCTCGGAGTCTCACCAATAGAGCTGGGTAAAGCAGCATCAAGTAAAGTATCTTTCAAGGCAGTGTTTCTCACTCGTATAGTCTGCAGGGCAGGACTGGTTCCTTCCCAGGTTAAATCTGTTTGATCCTTTCCATCTGAAACACACAATAAAGAGGGACACCTCAATGCCAACGTGTCAGAATGAGATCACAAAGTTACCATTTCCTCCAGCGAACAACCACTTGGAAACCCATTTAATCCACAAAACAAATCAAGGTAATTAGTTCAGTATGAACTAATTCCACAGACTTGCTGAAAATGGATTGACTGATAAGTAGCGATCCTCTTCCTGCTGCCTGCCTGGCTGTCCTTCCAGTGTCCAGACTCTCCTTCTCATTCTGGCTGGCAAAGTTTCTGATGCTCTTCTTGTGCTCTGGAGCCAAACCTTGGACTAGTCCAGGCCCCTCTATCATCCTTTGGCAGAGCTCTCCAAATGCCTGAGTATACTTGCTAAGGACCTTTGCATCACCCTAATTTTCCTGTAGAACTGTTCTTGGTAGCCAGTGTCTATGAACAGAGAATGAGATGTACAAGAGGACTGACATTCTCTACCACAGCTTATTTTCTACAGCTCAAACACATTTCCTGGAGTTAAGCAGAGCACAGCTTATACAATTATATTTTCCAACTATTAGAAAATTGACTTGGATTCAGAGAAAATATTACTGCTCCACCCTGTATGCTTTACTAATACCCAGGCTGAGAGCAGAGCCTGCTCTTAACCAGTAAGAGCTGCTCCTCTTCTAATCTTAGTCCCATGACAGTGCCAGGCCCTAAAGTGCTTTGGGATGAAGTTTTCTATGTAAACACAGGTTATTATATTACTTTGAGTAGACACATTATGTAGAAAATGGACTGTTGTTTGTGAGAGGAGGTATTAAAAAACAAAATGAAAGCCTTCCTGATCAACCTGCAAGCTGATGAAAAGAACACAAACTGAAGAAACACACACATTTATCAGGACCAGAATATCCAAGGTACTAATGAATCTTCAGTCAGATCATGTCATGTCCTCATGTTCACTGCTATTAACTACGCAGCAAGGTGTCCCAGGCCTATTCAAACACGTACTGACCCATTGAGACGAGCTCCATTGTAGCACAGGGAGACCTCAGCTGCCTGAGGGACTCTGCAGAACAGCCGGTTCATAGCTGGGCCTGACTATTGCTCTGTATCAAAGCTTTGGAGAAAGACAATAAAGCTGAAAGGAGGAGGGTGAAAGGTAAGGTATTCTACTGTAACAGGCCATGACATTCTTAACATTAACAGAGGTGATACTGTAGAAGAAACACAAGGCTTACACAGGTCGTCAAGGGAAGCTGTGTCTCAAGTTTTCCTCCTCCTCTCTAGCCCTGGTTGTTAACCATATGAAAAGCAACTACACTAGAGAAGAGTTGCTCATATAGCTGTCCTGGTATAACTGTGCTGACGATGATGATAACCCTAATGCAGGTACAGAAAAATGTACAGAAAATCCTTCCGTGAATTTATGGGGAGACCCTAAAGAATCGGTGTAGTTGCCTATACTCTGTCTAGCTTTGGGAGAGGGCTGGCAGGAAACGTATCTGAGAATTTGTTTCAATAGAAAACTAGGAAAGGGAGTAGGTGAGCAAATTCTTTCCAAAGAAACAGCTCTTAGCAAGCCTTTGGGAACATTATATTCTTATCCTATGAAAACAAACCAACCAACCAACCCCCAAGCCCCAAAAGCCCACTCTCTCAGTCTTCAAGACTGTCTTGTCTGTCTTGAAGAAGAATTTAGGCATTCCGAAGTCATGATGTACTAGGCTTATAAACATTGTCATTCTTAGTGCATCAAAGATAACGTAAAAGATTTTTGTAGTGTCAGATTAGCCAACTACATTTTTGAGCCTGAGATAACCCAGTAAACGCGCATTTTCAATATGCTATCTCTTTTCTGCTCACTTGTTTGTTTCTGTTAAACCATGATGTTTAAAAAAATCACAGGAATTTTAGAAGTCTCTTTAACACCACTGCTTTTTGAACAGCATCACTCAGGAATTCCAGGCCTAATGAGTCTCAGATTTTGTAAAGCAGCTGGCCATAGGTTTCAACTACAGGATACTATAGCTTTTTTCTGGTTTTCAGTAAGGTCCATTTTCCACCAAACAGGGTTTGTATAAGGAAGCTTAGTTGCAAATTTAGCTGAAGAATGATGCCACCCATCCATAATCACGAATTATAAAGCTTAACATAGCTTTTTAGCTCTGTTTTTCTAGCAGAACTGCTAGTTACTGATAGGTATTGATTTTGTATGGAATAGCATTACCCAGTTGTACCCTTACCTGAAGCAGGCTGATGCTACGTAAAACTGCTTAGATTTCTATACAGGCTCTGATTCAGCCTTTTTTATTTTCTTGGAGTGATTCAACTGGTGGAACTGGCCTAAATGATTATACACAAGCACATGTAACTCTTTCATGGGCTAGAAGCCACTGCAGAGTTATTTGTAGTGTATGTATGCAAATCAACTTCAGTTTGAGATAGCCTGGGAGAACTTTGAGGGGGATTTCCCTGCTTTATGTAATCTATTGTTGCTTCTTAGCTTCCTCTATCCACATGGCCAGGAGGCATAAGCATGACACCGCTGGTAATTTCTCAAACTCAAACTGAAAGCAAAGACAATGTGCTCAGTGACCTACAGCAGACTTGCAGCTTTCAGTAAATCCTCAGATGCTGGAATAAAGATCTGGAATAAAGGAGGCCTGAAGGAGCAGTGGGAGGAATAGCTCAGATGGTAAGGGCTTCACTTACTGGCATGCTTTGAAAGTGGTCAGCAGCCAGGAAGATCTGTGTGCTATCCCTCAGATACAACTCTGGCCTACCCAGAGCAATAACTTTACATTTCTCGATCCATACCGAGTGCAGCACCTCACACGTGATGGGTGCTGTCAGTTCAGTGTCCGATCAGTGTGGGGCAGTTACGAGACCCCGGCAGATTGGACTGCAAGCACAAGGCTGTGGCTGCCTTCCCCACCCATTCTCATGGGGAGGTGAGGAACAAAACTCATCTTACCATGTGCTGAGGCAGATCTAGTCCCAGTAAAGATACTCACTGGAATGACAGGCCAGAGAGGCAGAAATTTAAGGCAGGTAGGAGGAACACCCTGGCCGCTAGCAGCCCGCGGAGAGCTCTGTGCTGCTAAGGCCAGGCTGCTTCTGATACCCAGGTGAGCCTGTTCAGTGCTAGGCTGGCTATTGCTCTACCCAGTGCATCGTGCTGTACGGATTGCGGTGTTACCCTTCCAAATTGGAAGATTTACAGTTCAGCAGCTATGCAGATTCTGAGAAATGCACTTACCAAAAACCACAGCTAAGGGAAATACGACAGGTGAACTAAGCACGGTGGCACTGAGGAGGAAGGAAATCTGAGTGCACTGATAAGAGTGCGCTTGATATATACTGTGTTCAATCTGGACAGTCTGCAACCAGGAAAACACAGGCTAGCTGAAGGAAATTCAGCTCGGAGGCCCTAGGGACTGAAACAGTCTGTTAAAACGCTTTGTTGGTTTTATTTATCACTACTTAATTAGGATGCTTAACCAACACATTGGAAAGATAGCAACTGTTAAATATTCAACAAGCTGACCTTTCAGTTACAATATGACAAGTCTGAATAAAGTTCATGGAAAGCTTGTCCTTCCTAGGTACTCCAACAAAGCCAAAGGGACTGGACCAAAAAAAAAAAAAAAGAGAGAGAGAGAGAAAAAAGTAGGGCACTATTGTGGAGACCTGGTTCAAAATCCAAGTCTTGCCACGGGCTTATTGAATGATCCTGGGCAAGTTGTTTCCTGCCCTTTGCGTCAGTTTTTCCCATCTGTAAAAAGAGTACAACAATGTTGACCTTCCTTGTAAATTGCCGAGATGAATGGCTAGAAAAGAAGCAATACATTATTAACTACTTATTATTATTTCTGAGGAAGAAAAGGCAAAGAGAAGCAGCCATCAATCTTTCAAGGTCTTCTTGATCCTCATAAAAAATAAAAAAGCACGTAATGTGAATTTCACACAACAGAAACTTTTGGCAAGCCACCTTTAAGAAGAAATAGTGGATGCACAATTAAAAGAAAGTTAAGAGCGGGCAGACAGTCAGGAAAACGCTCCAGATGGTGAAACGAGTTAGGCTGCGGAGCAGGCTCCCACAGGAAGCGGTGAAACCCCCATTGTTTGAGACATTTGAAACTGGATTCTTCAAAGTGCTGGTACATATAATACAAGGAACCGCT